AATTTGAAATCAGGTGGATGTATATTTTTTCTTTTTTTCTTTTTTTTTCGAAAGTGAAAGGGACAAGCGTTATTATTATATAGCGGGGTGGTGATGAGATGTATGTACGCACGTATCGAGCTACTACACGTTTGATGTGAACGTAATTCTGAGGACATGTGAGAAGGAAATCTCTAAGTAGACTTAACGGTATTGATTGTCGATGTACACTGTAAATACTGACGAGGCAACTAAATGTTATTAAGAGCAAGGCAGATTTTGGGCTCCGGTGTTTAATTGGTTACCGCTGTACTGCCATCCTCGACTTTTTATTATTGTATATCGCGCATGATGAATCGTATTACGGGTGTGTTAAACGTACGGTATATCATCCAATCTCACGTTTTTGCTCGTGTTTACGCTAGTGTTCTTATCATTGTACGAATACTGATTAGTTGTTAATTTACGGTTAATTTAAATGAAAGAAAACCGCGATAGATCTCTCCTAGCTAATTCGTACTAATTAGGTGTTAAGTTACTTTTTTTTCGGCAAGGAGCCTTCTCTAATTTTTTCGTTTTTTTTTCTTCACGTTGAATAGGAATCGCTTCCGATGATGCTCTCAATGATTACACGTCTGAAGATTTTGCTTCCTACATTCGCGTCTTTTGTCTCTCTTGTCGTGGCTGTCATCTTTTCAAGTTCGATCATGTGATTCCTTTCTATCACAATACGTAGGATCCTCGGATTATGTAATATCTTGCATATACGATTAATCACACGCACACGCACGTATATCGATTGTATAGCAAGGCAGAATTATTTCTTCGCGTTTGAATATCAAGAAGAGTCATTTTTCGGTTTAATCGATACTCTTTAAGCCTGGATGAGTAATATTTCATAATTGCAAGTGCTAGTAAAAATCTGATGTTTTTAGTTTAAGATTATTTTAAAAATATTTAAAGCATGTCGAGAAAAAAATATAAAAATTCTCTTACAAAAAGAAATATTAACTCTTCCCACTACGAGAAATGAATTATTAGTGTTAGTTATACAAACAATAGTTATACAAACAAAGAAAACTATGAATAGAACAAATATGACAAAGATAGTTATTTTAAGTACTAAATAAAGTTGACTAAGATTTTTGTCTATTTTTGTTTCTAGACATATATATAAAAAGTTAAACCTTTTTTTCTTTTTTTTTGTGCGAAACAGTGTGAAAATATTTTTAATAGGACAAAATGTGTGAAAGATGCATTAATTTGAGACAAAAAAGTGTGAATTCCGAAAGGAATCAATGAGGAACATTAATGCATGTTGACAACATAATTTAAATTAATTATATATTTATATATATATATATATATATATTATAACAAAATGATAAAAAAATAATGACGTGGTTATTATTTCATCGAAATTATTATTTCATCGAAGTGAATAATAACTCAGTTGTTCTAAATCGAGCGCAGGCGTCTAATACTATGAAAATTAGCATTACCATTAACATTATTGAGGACACGAAAACTATTTCTCAAATAAGTTATTTATTATATGAAGTTATCTGTCATATCTATTGCATTGTGTATGTTACTCATTCAGGGTCAAGGAGAATCTTCGTGCGATGACGAACCTCCAGTTATCCCGTGCGCGAAATAACGATTTGCGCAAAGTGCTCTTGGATAAATATTTTGTTGCACTTATCACTATCATACAACGCGCAAGGTCTAGAATTATGGATTGAGACGTAACGAAGTTGAAGAAAAAAACGAATTTTCACATTTGAAGTTGGGAATTATATATCTAAATTACAAAAGGGAACATTCAGAAGAAAGTGCAAAAAAGTTTCAAAAATTCGGTAACTTATTACAACTTAAATATAGCTTATGATAAATTATTCGCTATAAATACTAAATTCTGAACAGTTGTATTTATTCAATGACTATAAAAATAGCTAGAAAAAGCATTGGATGAGAATTATATTACGTTTACGTTGCAAATATAGCTTACGTAAAGATTTATAATATTTAAAAGACAATATTTTTTTCAGGATCTTATCTTTTTATTATCCTATTATTCTATTTTATTTTCATATTTTGTTACGTCTCATTCTTATTCTATGCAAACCGTTAGGTCGCGTGTGAGTGTCACTAAATCGTCCCGATGCGCATTGCCGAGGAATCGAAATAATATCAGCACTTTCGCTTAAGAATAATGGAAGCGAGTACGTTACGACGATCGTGTAAATCAAACAACCCCCTTATTCCAAAATACGATCATACGAGTGTTATCTGTCACTGTAACTGCGTGGATGTTCTCTATCAGCGCGGCTTAATCCATTTTGTTGTCACCGTTTGTTTTGTATAGTGATTTAGCTGAATTTTATAAGTCAGATTTAGTATAGCATTTAATTAGGTAGAAATTTTTAACGATTAGTCCCATTCAAGTATATAGTGATAATAAACTCTTAAACACGGCCAGTCTCGCGTGTCATTAAGTCTACGGTGACTAGATAACATCGTCATGGTACAAGCGAGTGCAATGATGTTGCAGTGACTATCTTGGATTCTTAATGAAAATCTATGGGCGTAATAGAAGAATGAAAGAGACAAAGATGATGTAAAACTGTTTTGGGAACCTATACGTATGTCTTGGAAATACTTTATTTATAAAATGATTAAACATTTATAAAAGAGTTAAACTTATTTATTCTTAACATAGGAAGCACACGTAATTATTCAGGCTGTTATATATATATATAAGTATTTTTCGAAATATAAAAATAGAAAAAATATATAGATTAATAACATTAGTTATTAATATCAGTAATTGAAGAAAACAATTTTTTTTTAATATTTATTACAAGTTTACTTATTTTAAATAATCTAGAAAAGTTGTAGAATTTTTTTAGATTATAAATTACTCTTAAATTAATTATTATTTTCTCTTAACACTCGAATTTGATTATGATTTTAGAATTTTCTAACTTTTCATCAATTACTCTATTCTGAAACATTAATTAGAACATTAAAGTCAGAAAATTTTAAAATTCCATTTATACGGAAAAAAGAATATTCAAAAAATAGAAATGATCCGAAATAATCGCTCGATATTTCTAACATCAAGAAAATATCTGGAGCCCATTTCTCGATTTCGACATAAAGGCACAAAGATGAACACATTATTGCACTTGATTGTGATTGCGGGGATACATTTCATGGAGTAAATTATACAACACGATGTCTGGCCGTTCCGTTGTATACGTTTGTCGTGCAAGATTCGTGATTATTTGAATATAATTATACAAAGTAAATCATTGGCTATACGTTTTGGGAATGGAAGGGGAGAATACCAGAACACAAATCACACATGCGAACGCACGACGAACGAGAATATATCGAGTGCGGATATTTTATAGTAGGCTTGTGATTAAATCGAGGAATTATTATCGAACGGTCCGAGATAAAATAAAAAACGATGTATAAAAAAAGAGAAATATTGCTTTCCACACGCAGAATATATTATTGTAATTATGTCGTTAATAAATTGTTTTTTATTTTAACTCTCTCGCATGCGGTTCGTACGTGTTCCCTGCATGGTGTTCTAATCGTTCACGATTTTTAGCATGAAGTTTCATTGGCGAAGATGCAACCCGGAGACAATTTATGGA